CACTGTTGCTTTTGGCTATCAACAAGCCAAGAGCATGCCATCTGTCAACAATTTCTTTCCTAAGGAGATTTGCGTGCAGCATGCAGCCTATACATACTCTGGTAAAGGGGTCTCTTGACTTTTGACATGCCAAGTGCATTCTTTAGATTTACGGGCAGGCTTCATGACTGGAATTTAGCATTTGTCTCACAAGGATCATGGCTACCAATGCCAGCAAAGTCTGCGGCAATGATTCCTTTTGGCAGTTATGAGAAAAAGGTCCACTGGCTATGAATGATCTGTTGAGCATTTATTTACGTACTAGTACAGTAGTTGTGCGTTCTAAACTCATCATGTTGCCATTGTTTTACGCAGAGGAAGCGTACAAATACTACCAGTCATCCTGTCTTTGTCAAACATTAACAATACCTCTTTAACTTGGGTGTCAGCAATCAATAACATGCGTGGAGTGTATCTTTTACTTGTCTGCCGCCATGCCTTTTGCAAAACTCATTTCTTGAGTCTGAGAGCTTGAAAATGGTAATACACAGCTGTCGAGTTCTAGAAAATTAACTCAGCTATAGTAAGATATTGGTAGTTATGTTTTTCTTTTTTTCTGATAACTTTTCCATTGTTATGTTGTCGCGCACAGTTGACCAGCTCTGCCAGACATCTCATGTTATATTTGGCTCCGAGGGCAATCATGTCAACTGTACTTAGCTTAGATATTAGATTCAAATGGCATAACTCTTGCACAACGGATCGAACGCAGGATCATAGTCGGCAACCATTGTGCACGCCTCCTTTATATCAACCTCGGTTGTCGGTTCCTTCCAAAAGGAACATACTGGAACATTTTGCTGTCTGGAAAATATTTCCTGTACGTATGTTTGCTGCTTCTTTGGCCGAGACAGTTTCCTTTTGAATATGTGATCCAGTTTGGTTCTGTTTAGTTCTGTTGAATTGGACAAGATTTATGTCAAGTGGCACAATGACTCAAATGTCCTAGCAATTCCATTTTCTCATCCAAATGTTCTCAAATCAACTCATTTCTTCCTTTACATGTTGACTTTCTAACAAACGCTTGTGCTGTATGTAGTTGCATCAAATTGCATAGAAATAAATTAGGATGAGATGCCACTCCTACCATCCGAACCAAGAGAAAGTGTTGCAGAAATGTAGAGAAAGGGCAGCAAGAGAAAATTCAGATTTATGCAAATTAAGGCCTTCATTTATTTAATATTTTTAGCAGGAAAATTTCCACTATTTGAATAAAAAGGGAGAACAATTACAATTGTAATCAACAACGTCAAAACGTAAGCCTTAGGTAAAAATGTTAATTAATTTTCGAAAAAGAACATTCACAAGAACTTTGCAGGGGGTCTAATGAGTGAAAACTCTAATTATTGCTAACTAGCTGGATCGAATTATAAAATTGAGCTTGGCACTATATCAGGAATTGATTAGCATGGGAATGCCCATAATCCTACAAAGTTTGGTGCTTGTATCAAAAATCGCATAAGTATATGGGGGCAATACATGTATATATATTAATTAAAAATTAAGTTCTATTGGTTAGCTAATCATCAGTCTTTTGATTCATTGATTAAGGTTATTATAAGAGATGACCTTGGCGAAATTTATGGACTGGCAGTTGAATGGGAAAGTGAGAAGATTTACTTCACTGATTTCATCTTTGAGAGAATTGAAGTGGCAAACCTTAATGGCTCGTTCAGAAAGACATTGATTACAAAAGATTTGTTCAGCCCCCGTGGGATTGCTGTTGATCCAAAGAGTGGGTAAGTTTCAATTTAATAAATACATGTAGTTAATTACTGTGGTCATGACACAAATTTTTCTTGCAAGACAAATTAGGGAGAATCCAAGCCACAGACAAAGCATGTGTCAGTCATTCTCCAAGATAATCTTTTTACATGATAACAAACGTTAATCTATGTCCCATTCCTTTTGTGAAATTGCAATATAATGAGTTATAATTAGAAGTCTGACAGTATTGCTAATGAATGTACTGTATGTAGAACATGACTGAAAACACTTTTTTGAGGTACCAAGTACTGTTTATTGGCACAACATGTGACTTGTTCCTCTCTGTAAATTTGAGTTGAGTGAACATTATTGTGCTGTGTTGTTGTCCTTTCTCGTGTGGTGTTGTCTTGTATTTATGACACATAAATAATGTATCAGCCAAGCCTAAAAGCGGAGCTCCTGCGTGGACTGGATTAGCTTAAGTAGACTTTGAGCAACCCAGGTTAAGCAAGAAGTTTGATTTGAGTTTTGTAACTTTGCATTGCGGTGAGGTTTTGTGCATTATATTGTTTTTCATTCTGTTTTGAGTTTGAAAAGCTGTGAAAACAATTACATCCAAGAAAAATTTATACTTTGGTTAACTTTTAATCCTGGGTTAGTCTTGACCTGCATTTCCAAACAACCTGGCCCTGGGGCCCATTTCTCAAAAGCCACGGAAATTTTTTGGGCCCGAAAAGCGATTTTTAGTTAATTGGTATTTAAAGAAAGAGAGGTGTATACATCTGAATTACTTCTTGTACAAAGGGAACCTCTGTTCATACTAAAAATATGTGAATAAAACAGCTCTGTAATCGTAATGTTTGAGATTTTGCTATGGCTTTCCTTGCCCGAAAAATTTCCAGGGCTTGCGAGAAACGGGCCCCTGATTACAACAAGTTAACCTGACACGAGCCTGCAATCCAATCGAAAACCAACACTTGGTCAGCGGTCAACTCTAAAGAAAACATGTGACCTCAATGAGTTCTAAACTTGAGCCCACGATATGGTCACTTGATAACCGGAGCTCCACTATTACAGTTCAAATATAATTATATTTAATTTATTTCTAACTATTTGTTATTAATATTTCATTCTGACTAATTCAAGGTACATGTTCTGGACAGACTATGGATTTGATTCTCCAAGAATAGAACGAGCAGATTTAACTGGTGAAAATCGCAGGAGCTTAGTTTCCTTTGGAGTTGACTGGTATTTCGCATGGTTCCCCATGAGTGTGGTCGTTGACTATAATCATGATCCTGATCGCATTATCTGGATGGATAGATATGACAATTACATTGATTTCTCAGACTTCGAGGGGAATAAGACAGCGCTTGGATATATTAGACAAAATATACGTCCAGCAGATCTAGCATTGTATGGTGATATTCTTTACTGGGCGGATGAGAACAGTCGTAGCATTGAGTGGTTTAACATGACGCAGCCAATTAACTTACATTACAACTATGGTCATCTCACAAATGGTTACCTTGCGGGTATTGTGGTATCTGACAAGTCAAGACAACCATTCAGTAAGAAGATTCATTTGATAATTATGATATTTGCTGTAAGCATTGTATCAATATGATACATGTAGTTCCTGTCATATTGTTTTGTCAATTTTGTTAAACAGTGGACCCTTGTTTCTTTTACAAGGCATCCCAAATAAAAGCTAATACATAAGCAAAACTTAACATGCATGGTGCAAATTTAAGTTTATGAGTGACTCCTAATTCTTGGACACTACTGTGACTAATGCAAGTTCGCTCCTCTTTTAAGATGCGAATCATTCACTGTGCAGCATTAACAATGGCGGATGCAGCCATCTCTGCTTATTGGCTCCCGGTGGAGGAAGCAAGTGCGCATGTCCAAATGGCGTGGAATTATTACCTGGAAACAGGACTTGCAGTAACGGTAATGGAACTAGATGTGTCATTTGCATGAAGTGTTTTCTTAAAAAACCCATAAGGGAAAATGTAGGAAAATATTGTGGCCTTTCAACAGTCTGTTGTATACGCAAGCCCGAGCAGCAGAGCAGATAATTTATCTCTCTACAGTATAGGTTTTGTAGCTGAGTGTGCATGTGAGAACATAGAGTTTGCACTTTGACAATTCAGCTGTGACTAGCATAATCAATTGTCATTTTTGCATTTTTATTATCAATATTGCACAACTTAAATATCTAAAAGTACCTGATTTGCCTGATTTATTAGATGATCCGTGTACATTTGTACTCTGGATGGACTTGTAGATGACAATCAGGAAGGGGTTCAATAACCTTTGAGAACTGGCCTTTAGTGATTACCTTGCTCTTATGCTATGTTATATCTTCTTCAATTTTTCAGTGACCCAGCCAGGACCACCACCACTTCCTGTACCAGGTAAAAATAATGGGGCTAAATGTAATTTAGGCAAAGTTTGAGCTGAGACAGTGCTGGTCAGTGGTCTCTCAGGGCAATCATACTCGGTGGGGTCTCATTACATGCAGGACTAACATGTTTTGCTTGCCAGCTGTGTGAGAATGTGCAGTTTGCCTTTGAGTGCCATTCTTGCCTCTTGAGTGCTTTTGCTCTCTCACCTTCCACCCTTTCACTGGGATGGTAAGTATATGGGGTGCTAAGTATCTCCACTGTACCTGGTGGTTGCCGCTCTCAGGGTTGCAGTGGATACCTGCATGCTCTGCTCCAGGCTCATATCTCGGCTCCACCATCCCTAAGGCACCTGTCCCAGGCTCATCAATTGGTCATGAGTTTAACTGTTATTATTCCTAAGCACTTCAAAGTGATTGAAGGGGAAGCACAGTAATTTTCTCAAATCAACTGTACATATGATGTGATCCTTTAAGCAGTAGCACAACCAGGAATTAGTCATACCAAAGCTGTTCTTTGATGAATCAATGAACTTTTGTACTTCCTTTGGCAATGTTGGTTGATGTTTTTATTGTTGCCCAATGCTATTCTTTCATCTTTATTCAGTCTTTGATTACAGATGGATAATACAAGACAGTACAGAATACATTAAACTTCTAGTTGGAATTTTTGAGCTCTGAGACTGAGTTCCTTACCCATATTGGAAACGCTTTTTTTGCAGATCTGAAAGTACGTCTTAGTGGATCAAATTCATCGCACGAAGGTCGTGTTGAAGTATATTATGACAACAAATGGGGAACCATTTGTGATGATCACTGGGGCTTGAGGGAGGCTACATTAAACAGTGGTGATAGGACCATTGAAGTGTCAAAGTTGAACGGCGATTATTGGAAAGTAGTAGTTTCTGAGTTGGCTTCCTCTCCAGTAGACATTACTTTGGATACAACTAAAGGGTAGGAATGAAGTCACTTTCCCATAACTTATTATATCACATACATACATTCATACATGGTTTATGTTTCTGATAAAGCAGGTTGAAGAATCGGCAAGACGTTAAGTCCTGATGTGGACTTGCATTATCGAAAATGATTAATTAATAAAGTGAAAATGGGTGAATAAATAATGATAATTTAAATAAATAAATATTAATGACAATATATAGTAAATATTAAAAATATTTAAAGTCTAAAGATTTGTTGGAAATGCTGCAAGAAGCTTTAGCAAAAGTGATAGATTTTAGAATGCTCTTATTTTCCTTAAGTTTTTCCTTGAAAGAAGCCAGGTTTGAACAGTTCTTGATGTCATCAGGAAGGAGGTTCTAGGATAATGCAGCTCTATGTTTAAAGGAAGTTCTTCCCACTTCTGTTTTTGGTCTATGAACCTCAACATTTAATAACCTTCTAAAATCATAAGTAGTCTCAGCTTTCACTATTGAGTCGTTTAGGGGTTGGATGCATTTGTGCATGGATTTGTTTTCACCAACAGTTCCATGCAAAAGCACCACTAAAGGAGTACATTTTTTCCAGGGCCAATTTGTTACATGTACATGTATTTTATGTGAACTAACATATTGTAGAAGACGTGGCACAAATGCTAGAAGGCATGTTCAACTGAATTAGCAAGTGGATCTTGGACCAAGGCTAGGGTGAAATATCCAACTTCACATGAGTAAAACTTGAAACTGCAAAAAACCTAATATTTATTTTTAAGTTGGATATTTGATCATGTGCTATGATTTTCCTGACAACAGCATAAGACTGGATTCTTGCAGACCATACAATGTAATGCCAGACTTTTCTTTTCTGTTAGTTTATTGAGCTACAACCTTAAAGAACTGTACAAAAAGTCATGTAACTATGGATCAACGTTCTCCCTAATATTTTTATGGTATATTTACTGGTTGGTTAGTACAGCTGAAGCTTGTGAATGGTTTCCACCAATACTACACTTTTTTAAAGTGTAACACAAAACATGACACTGGCACTTCATTCATCTGCTATCTGTTTATCCTTTAGGTTCATGTATTGGTCAGCTGAAGGAGTCATTGAACGAGCGGAACTGGATGGGTCAAATCGACGTAAAGTTACTGAACTGGGAGTGACTTGGTATGGGGCCACTATTGATGCGAAAGGCCTAACGCTGGATGTTGACAACAATCGACTCTATTTTGTGAGCTACCATCTGTATTCTCTTCTTTACATTGATCTGAGTTCGACTCAACTCCGCCTCCGCCCAGTTCATACTCTAATTCAGCAGTTCTGGTATTTCTATGGCCCATTTGGAATTGCTGTGGATGACCAGTATGTTTACTGGACTGAATATATAGTTTATGGATATGTCTTTCGGAGAAGTAAGAACTTACATGATGATGATGTTGAGGTTGTAATTAGCGGGACTTACGAACCCAAAGGAATTGCAGTTAAAAAAGGCAACTTTACCCAAGACAGTAAGTATTTCTGTTGTAAATATTGATTTGAGTTTCTGATATACATGTACACCCTCCTATCCAAGGGACTTTAACAACAATGCAAAAAGTGTATGGAAAGACAGTATCAAGTAATATCTACACTTTACATGTACATGTACATGTACAGGTGCATGTGCCATGTAACAGAAAATTTCGAGAAGGTTTTGTAATAGATCAAAATGGAATTCTTCATGTGTGCATATCGAAGGTTTAAGGGATTGGAATTAGCATTGTTTAGTAAAATGAGAAAAAATTCTTTGTATGAATGCAAGTGCAATTGAGAATTTGCATTACGAGTGATAATTTTTTGAAAATCTTTTAAATTGCACTTGCCTAAAGGCTTGTGCAATTTGAAAGAATATTATTTTCAAATATCACTTGTGGTGTAAAATTCTTAATTGTTCAAGTTTTCATATAATTATATTATTACTCACTTACTCTATGACTGAGAAAATTGCGAACACCTGGCACTAATTTGCACTGCAGTGCAAATTAGGAATTAACAATTATTAATTGGCCTGCCCTCAACCAATCACAATGAAGTAATTTTCTCCTCAGTCATGTAATAAATGTATTTAACACTGTGTTACATGTAATTGGTGACACTGCAAATGCAATGTACATGTATTACAATAAACAAATATTGTAAACAAAACATAAACTGTTAAGAATCCCAGTTGGTGGGAGGCTCACCCGTTGGCTTGACAAAAGGCAGCAGAGGAATTGAATTTGGGACTACAGAGAACAAATTCAGATGGTGGTAGAATGGAGGATTTGATCCAGGGATCTTAAACCACTTGACCACACTGCCTCCCTTAGAAAATACTGACCTCTCAGAGTTACATATTAACTAAAAATGTTTTATCCAAATATCTGTTACATTTACATGTACAGTATGATTTATTATTCCATATTTTGTTATGTTTAGATCACTCATGTGCTGACAGTTGCAGTCACCTTTGTCTGTTGAAACCTGGTGGTTACAAGTGTGCATGCTCAGTGAATGAGTCTGCCATGCCATGCAATGAGAGCACTCATGTTACCAGTAAGTTGCTTAGCTTTCATGTATTGCACACCCTGCTCTTTGCTTTTCAGTCTCTTCATTCTTGATATGGCTCAATGACTTCCCAATTTCAAAAATTATCCTTGTCCTAATTATTGACTCACTGTTATCTGTCTGTTTTTAACCTTTTGGTTTCTTAATTGGTCTATATTTTGTCGCATTATGGACCACAAATGAGGACTGCTTTTGATTAGAAAAAAAGAACTGTTCTTTTGTAACCTCTCTTAGTCTTGTAGTATAATCTTACAAAATGAGTAACTAGTCAGACCAGTATTTCCCCAATAAAGATCTCACCCTACTTAAACAATGTCAATGTAATTGGAATTTACAATTTGCATCCCCAGTATTTGGTTGTACAGAAGATCCCAGTCTATATTTTATTGATGACCATCACATCAAATGCATTGAGCTGACAGCCTCCAACCAAACCTATGTCAGTGTGAAGACCTTGAAGTCAGATCTTGTCCAGGGTGGTGCAATCGACGTACACTATTGGGGGAGGATGATATACTGGAGTGACATTGCCCTGTGGACTATAAATAGAATGAATTTAGTTACTGGTGAAACTGAGGTAAATACATATGGATGTTAACTTATAGTACACTAACAATTATAAGATAAAAGTATACATAAAGTTTATGTACAGTAGATTCTTGCCTCTGGTTAGTTTATACCATTCATAAGTATATTTTTCCTTCTTTGTTAGATACCTACCTCACAGCTTTGTCAAAACTGAACAGATTTCCATCATACTATTCGAAGTAGATTCCCAGTGGTTTTATCCCTTTTGTTGTCTGCTTCAATACAAAATATTAAGTGAAAGTTCATATGTAATCGGAAATTGTTTTCCCTTTGATTTGTCTTCCCCTTACAGAGAGTGTGTGGGAGCAATGTGACACGTCTTTTTTCTGTTAGCTAATCAGTCTTTAAATCCATTGATAAAGGTGATCATAAGAGACGACCTGGGGGAAATTTATGGACTGGCCGTTGAATGGGAAAGTGAGAAGATTTACTTCACTGATTTCATCTTTGAGAGAATTGAGGTAGCAAACCTTGATGGCTCGTTCAGAAAAACATTGATTACAAGAGATTTGTACAGCCCCCGTGGGATTGCTGTTGATCCAAAGAGTGGGTAAGTTGTAGGGTTGCAAGTGGTTAATACGAGATGATGCCTTCGGTTATAATTGGGACACAGGCATTAATTGATTAATAGTTAATTAATTGTAGGACCCATTTTTATTCTGAGATAAAGTAGGGAGAATCCAAGCCACAGGCAAAGGTTATGTCAGCCTTTCTACGAGGTGATCTTTTCACATTATGATAATTATAAAGACTTAAACGGATGTCCGATTGCTTTTGTGAAATTGCAATGTTTGAATGGAAAAGAATTCTAAAGTCTGACATTATACCTAATTCTTTAAACGAACATATCTGGTTTGCTACAGAAAAAACTTTTATTGGCACAACACAGGACTTGTTCCTCTCGGTAGATTTGGTAGCACTCAGATTCCCTTCGTCTGTTTTTTCATGTTGGACTGTTGTTGTGTTTTGTTGTGTTTTCTTTTTGTCCTTTATTTGTGTGACGTTTTCTTGTTTCTAATTGTATGAAACATAAATATTACATTATATTTTATATTTATTTACAGTATATGCAATTTATATTTCTTACATTTTATTGTGACTATTGAAGGTACATGTTCTGGACAGACATTGGCTTTGATTCTCCAAGAATAGAACGAGCAGATTTAACTGGTGAAAATCGCAGGAGCTTAGTTTCCTTTGGAGTTGACTGGTATTACGCATGGTTCCCCATGAGTGTGGTTGTGGACTATGATCATGATCCTAATCGCATTATCTGGATGGATAGATACGACAATTACATTGATTACGCAGACTTCGAGGGGAATAAGAAAGAGCTGGGATATATTAGTCAAAATATACGTCCAGCAGATCTAGCATTGTATGGTGATATTCTTTACTGGGCAGACGAGAACAGTCGTAGCATTGAGTGGTTTAACATGACGCAGCCAATTAACTTGCATTACAACTATGGTCATCTCACAAATGGTTACCTTGCGGGTATTGTGGTATCTGACAAGTCGAGACAACCATTTGGTAAGAAGATTCATTTGATAATTGTGATATTTGATATAAAAATTGTATCAATACGATACATGTAGTTCTTGTCATCTTGTTTTGTCAGTGGAATACTCAATGCTGGTTATTCTAACCATGGCCTTTTAGGAGAAAACACATTAAAGACAAATCATTAAAGGTGTACAATGAAACTTGTCAGTTTTGTTAAACAGTGGACCCTTGTTACTTTTACAAGGCATCCCAAATAAAAGCTAATACATTAGCAAAACTAACACATTATTCCATTGTGCAAATGTAAGTTTATGAGTGACTCCTAATTCTTGGACACTACTGTGACTAATACGAGTTTGCTCCTCTTTTAAGCTGTGAATCATCCACCGTGTCGCATTAACAATGGCGGATGCAGCCATCTCTGCTTATTGGCTCCTGGTGGAGGAAGCAAGTGTGCATGTCCAAATGGTGTGGAATTATTACCTGGAAATAAGACTTGCAGTAACGGTAATGAAACTAGATGTGTCATTTGCATGAAGGTTTTTCTTAAAAAACCCATAAAGGAAAATGTAGGAAAATATTGTGACCTCACAACAGTCTGTTGTATACGCAAGCCCGAGCAGTAAAGCAGACATCTGTCTACAGTATAGGTTTTGTAGCTGAGTGTGTGAGATCATAGAGTTTGCACTTTGGCAATTCAGCTGTGACTAGCATTATCAATTGTCATTTATTGCGTTTTGATTATCAATATTGCCCAACTTGAAGATTTAAAAATACCTAATTTGTCAGATTTATTAGATGATCCGTGTACTCTGGATGGATTTGTAGATGACAATCAGGAAGGGGTTCAATAACCTTCGAGAACTGGGCTTTAGTGATTACCTTGCTCTTATGCTATGTTATATCTTCTTCAATTTTTCAGTGACCCAGCCAGGACCACCACCACTTCCTGTACCAGGTAAACTGTTATTATTCCTAAGCACTTTAAAGTGATTGAAGGGGAAACACAGTAATTTTCTCAAATCAGCTGTACATATGATGTGATGCTTTAAGCAGTAGTACAGCCAGGGATTACATGTAGTCATACTACAGCTATTCTTTGATGAATCAATGAACTTTTGTACTTCCTTTGGCAACGTTGGGTAATGATTTTATTGTTGCCCATGCTATTCTTTGACCTTTATTCAGTCTTTGATCACAGGTGGATAATACAAGACAGTACAGAATACAAAACTTCTAGTTAGAATTATTTTTTTTTTATTTTTGGACCTTTGAGACTGAGTTCATTATCCATATTGGAAACGCTTTTTTTGCAGATCTCAAATTACGTCTTAGTGGATCAAATTCATCGCATGAGGGTCGTGTTGAAGTCTATTATGACAACAAATGGGGAACCATTTGTGATGATCACTGGGGCTTGAGGGAGGCTACAGTTGTCTGTAAGATGCTGAACTTTTCTGGGGCCTTCCATGTGGGTTACTTTGGTGCAGGAAACAAATCCTTTCCCATTTGGATGGATAATGTCAAGTGTCGCGGTGATGAGCAAAGCATTGCTGCTTGTCGTCACAGAGGCTGGGAAGAACATGATTGTTCCCATGCAGAAGATGCAGGCGTTGTGTGCAGAAATGACTCTATTCCACCAACTGAAGGTAAATAGCTGATCCACAGGTGCTTCCAAAGGGATTTGTGTTGGTACACCAATACAAGTGAATTTGAGCTCAGCCTGTTTCTTTTTCTTTAACTGGACGCAGCGTTATGTGAACGGTTTGTTTTTCCACTATTGGAGGAGATTGAGTGAATACCTTCGAGTCTTTTGGGCTTGATACTTCGTTAGGCATAAGAGGTAGTTAAGGAGAGTCTTTTTAACTTCCCTGCCATAGATCCTTGCAGGAATCGTGATGCAGGAATCGTGAATTGGAAGACGAAAATAACTTTTAAGATCCAAGTCATTAATTTTGAGCTGGGGATCTCGCAGGTGTGTCTTGGTTTCACAGCAGTAAGCCGAATGTCTGTGATTGCTATTTATGCATTTGAGAATACCAATCGAGTGTTTAGCAAGCGTTTAACTTACCGGCATGAGTTTGCGGAGATTGCTATCACTTTATTTGATAAATTATTAAGTTATTTAATTATGTGGCCTGTTAGTTGCCATTGATAACACCTTACTTGTTGTAATGTTGCAGTACCGTTGTCGAAGTTTGATAACATCGTTTGGCTTATCTTGTTTCTTTTTTTGTTATTAAGGCCCAACTTTAGCACCAGGACCACATCCAGGTGAGTTGATGTTGTTCCTTTCCTTCAAATAAGTGGTTTCCATTACCTGCCTCTATAAATTTGCTATCTGCCATAAAAAGCTGATGCAAATTAGTATTTTGCAAAACAGTGAAAGATATGACAACTTTTGTTTTTGTGTATTCTTCGTACAGAGTTACAGGTTCGTTTGCGGTCTGGAACAACGTCGAACCAGGGACGAGTAGAACTGTTTCTTAATGGCACATGGGGAACAATTTGTGATGACTACTGGGGCATTGAGGAAGCAAATGTGATTTGTCACATGCTGGGGTATTCAGAGGGAGCTTGGAGTACACATTGCTGTGGTTGGTATGAGGGATTCACTGCACCACAGCAAATTTGGCTGGATAATGTCCATTGTGTTGGTGATGAAACAAGTATCGCAGAGTGCCGTCATGGAGGGTGGGGAAGTCACAACTGTGGGCACAGTGAAGATGTGGGAGTGGTCTGCAAGTATACACCAGAAACGCTACCAGGTAGAATATTTCGAACTTTTTCTGAAAACTGGCAATTGAAAATAATGCCAGTATCTTCTTTTGAATTATGTCAAGTTACTGAATGATACTTGTAATGAAAAAAAATATCACTGATAGTTTTTTCATTTATGAGCACCTGAGTCACTAAAGATATTTCCAAAGAAGATTTTCTACCTTTTTGGTCCTCACTGTACGTGTGATACCATAAATTTTTATTTCCAAGTGACTGTACGTGGAAGTCTTGAGAAAGAGGAAAAATAATAAAAGCTACTTAACCAAAAAACAAGTGAACCCAAATGTATGATGGCCCAGAAGGCTCACACTTCAGTTGTGAGTTTTCAATTATGATTTTTCACAGTTCAGTTGTAATTTAAAAATCACAATTGAACTGTATGGAATATTACAACTGATCTGTGTCAGAAATCACGACTGAACTCTGTCAAAAATCACAACTGAACTGTGAAAAATTACAACTGAACTATTTCAAAAATCACAACTGAACTGGGTCAAAATTTCAACTGAACTGTGTCAAAAATCACAACTGAACTGTGAGCCTTCTGTGCCATCATACAAATGTCATAATTTTGTATCTTTTTTATGAATCTTTGCAAGCCTACATGTAGGATTATTAATGGGACTGTCAGGGAAACCTGCTGGAGGGTGGGAGATATAATGTAAACTGCAATATGCATGGCCTACTCTTACATACAGTGTACCATCCCAGCAAGCTAAGGGGGCATTGGTTGTCATACATTCAACAGGCACAATACTCTGTTCCCAGAGGTTTTCTTTCCCCTATTTTTTCAACACACGTGTCAGAGTCATAAAGTAGAGGAGTACATGTAAGTCTTTCAGAAATGATTATCCCTTGCGTGGGACTCCCCTCACTGGCTTGTTTACTTCAGTAAAGTGAAGAAGCCGCTGTCACCAGGGTTATAACACTCAGAGCAATGTGAGTAGATCGAGGTATAATGGCACTTTCAGAATAAATTATAAAGATGTAAATAATTATATAACAGAAACTGATACAACAAACTTCAGAATAAAATAGTCATTATCAGTATTAAAATATTTACTGCAAGTATAATCTTTCTTAATAGGTAAAAAACTGAGACTGGCTGATGGAGTAAGAAAAGCTGAAGGAAGAGTAGAGATATTTCANAATGCCAGTATCTTCTTTTGAATTATGTTTAGTTACTGATACTCGTGAAGAAAAAAATATCACTGATAGTTTTTTCGTTTATGAGCACCTGAGTCACTAAACATATTTCCAGAGAAGATTTTCCACCTTTTTGGTCCTCGCTGTACGTGTGATACCATAAATTTTTATTTTCCAAGTGACTGTATGTGGAAGTCTTGAGAAAGAGGAAAAATAATAAAAGCTACTCAACGAAAAAACAAGTGAACCCAAATGTACAATGGCCCAGAAGGGTCACACTTCAGTTGTGAGTTTTCACAGTTCAATTATGATTTTTCACAGTTCAGTTGTAATTTAAAAATCACAATTGAACTGTGTCAAATATCACAACTGATCTGTGTCAGAAATCACAACTGAACTCTGTGAAAAATCACAACTGAACTGTGAAAAATTACAACTGAACTATTTCAAAAATCACAACTGAACTGGGTCAAAATTACAACTGAACTGTGTCAAAAACCGCAACTGAACTGTGAGCCTTCTAGGCCATCATACAAATGTCATAATTTTGTATCTTTTTTATGAATCTTTGCGAGCCTACATGTAGGATCATTTATGGGACTGTCAGGGAAACCTGCTGGAGGGTGCGAGGTACACTGTAAACTGCGATGGCCTACCGTTACATACAGGGTACCATCTCAGCAAGCTAAGGGGGCATTGTTTGTCATACATTCAACAGGCACAATACTCTGTTCCCAGAGGTTTTCTTTCCTCTCTTTTCTCAACACACGTGTCGAGTCATTATCCCTCGCCTGGGACTACCCTCACTGGCTTTTTCGCTTCAGTAAAGTGAAGAAGCCTCTGTCACCAGTGTAATAACACTCAGAGCAATGTGAGTAGAGGTATAATGTCAGTTTCAGAATAAATTATAAAGATGTAAATATATAAAAGAAACTGATACAGCAAAGTTCAGAATAAAATAGTCATTCTCAGTATTAGAGTATTCACTGCAAGTAATCTCTCTTAATAGGTAAAAAACTGAGACTGGCTGATGGAGTAAGAAAAGCTGAAGGAAGAGTAGAGATATTTCACGATGGCTACTGGGGCACTATTTGTGACGATTATTGGGATATCAAGGATGCGCAAGTCGTTTGTAGGGAACTCGGGTATCACAATGCCGTTGCTGCTCCCAAGCGTGCACTTTTTGGTGAAGGAAATGGTCACATATGGCTGAGTAATATTCACTGCTTGGGCAATGAGAGTTCGATTGAAGATTGTGAACATGCAGAATGGAATGCTAACAGCTACTGTTATCACTTTGAAGATGCATCAGTCATCTGCT